ACAATCCATGATGGGATTTGAAAAGAATGAAAAAATAATTCAAATGCACCACAACCTTAAATTGTTTCACAAAGCTCAGATTTTTCTATAAAAATGCCAGCTTTTTAGGAAAAATCAGAAACTTCGGTGTTGAAGCTTCGGTGTTTCTTTTAGCCAAGAAATAAAAGAAAGCAGAACCCATATCAGGCAGGTGTTCCAAAGGAAGCTCCACCGCAAACAGGATGTGGACAATATGGGCTGGGAGACCACACATGTCTTACAAAGTGGTTGTTCATGATGAGTTCTGAAAACATACCGCAATTAAAATTGCATGTTTCAACGCATTAGTGTAATCTTTGCATGCAGCCTAACTCTAAAAGTGAGGAGTTGTGTTCCCCGCTAGGCATAAACATTCATTTTCTGAAGTGGCCACTGCAGATGAACTAAGGGTTAATAGCTGGAAGGGATTGGGACTTGTTTCAGAAGTTGGTAAAACCCTGTTCCTGGGTGAAAGCAAGCCTGAAGCCAGACTCTTTACACACATTACCAGGGGGTGTTAAAACCCACCATTCACAGGTGTCAGTGCTGAGCTCCACACATTTTTGATGGACCAAAAAGCTGCAACAGCAAGCAGAAAGAAAGTCAAACTCCAGCATGTCTCTACAGGGTCACTCCTGCTGCTGCTTCTGATTCACGATTTGCTTTCTGAGTTCCTCACAGGCTGAATTAGTTTAACTCTTGGCAATCGCCTCAATGCAAGCCACAGCTTGTTGCTGAACGTGTTATACTGAAACCACCTGCGCTGAACCATCCTGCTTCCAAACAAAAAGAAGAAACAGGAGAATGTATATCAAGATGCCAGGCTTAGTTAAAGATGAAACGTTTCCTCTGTTACAGGTGGAAATAACTTAGAATGAAGCTTCAGGTGAGTCGATAGGAAAAATAATGCATTTTTTAAAACTTGTTATAATTGAAAGTATGTAGCGCATACTGCAGATTGATGTCATGGTAACCAAAACCAAGGTATGTATATCTGAGCATAGATTTCACAATGAATTATTTACTAAAAATGGCAAAACTTCCAGTCATGCTGATGAAAAATCTCCAAGGACTCGCATCACTGAGCAATTGCAAATCGATTCTTTGACAAAAGAACTAATTACGCATCATTGAACAAGTGAATAATTCACTCAAGCCACGCAAGTGCCACAGAAGCCAGCATGCAGGAGTCGCTTCTCTCAGCTCCCAGTTCAAAACCTCCCCGGAGAGCAATGAAGGAGCCTTTACCTGAGGAGGTTATGCAATCCCGTACGCGTTAAAAACGTAATCCCATGCGGAATCCTGTCCTGGTATTCCTCCTCTGGATGAACCGAGGAGCAGCGATCCTTCCACCTGGAGTTTCACTTCAAACTGGATGGCAGAGCTGATTAGAAGCGGAGAGCATGATGGGTGCAGAGTTGTTTCACGCCCCCCCCCCTCATATGGTTCGTCCGTCCCACTTCAGGTTTTTTCCTCCCCGCCACAGATCAGCGCGGCTGTGAGGAGAGGACAGAGGTAGCCTGCGAAGGTATTCATGCGCTCTCACGTTTTGTCACGTTGAAACTGCAACATCAAGGGATTTTATTTGATAGTCTGACATTAAGTGGGGATTCATTAATGGAAAATCTGAAACGTGACAGTTATCTGCATTCCAGACCTCATGTTTGACTGTGCAACAGTCACACTCATAAATCCAGCTGTTCTGTGAAGGCTTCAAAGGTTTGATGGGACATTAGTGAACAAACCGCTTCCATCTTTCTACACCTCCCTTTTTATTTGGAGTGTTCCAAGGTCCAAATCTGTTCTTATCAAACTTTTTTTGCTACTAGGGTGGATATATACATTTAAAAAAACAACACAAACAAGCCTGTTCACTGCTATGCGGATGATCTTCAGATATATCTGCAACTTAGTCCAGATACTACTACATGGGTTTCCACACCCATGGAAACTTGCAGTTGGATTAATCTAGGTTGCTAATTTATCTTTTTATTCATGTACTTTCATGTATTTAGATATTCTGAATTTTATGCTGAACTCCCTTTTTTGTATGTCTATTACTCAGTCAGATCTTTCTGCTCCTCATACTGTCAGTGCAGTTTTGTTCATGAATACTGTCGACTTATTCGTTACTGGTGCTCGATAAATAAACCTCAACTGACTTGACTTGATCAAGACCAAAGAACATAGCAGACATGTAAGGGGTGTAGTTGTGGACAAGTTTAGATTAGGTTAATAAACAATATTCCAAACTTTGAATATCTCACAGAGCTCTGTTCTGTCCACCATCTTATGAATTTAAATTGATTTGATAGGGACAGACACACATTGACATAGACAAACTGCACAAAACAGCAGTCCATGTTTGCATTACAGTGCAATAGCAACAGCTAATTTGCAGCACTTGTCCCTAGATGGACTTTTAAAAAGTATGTTTAAAAGTTGAAGTGATTAAATTTAAAATAACACAACATAATGTTGACAACATCTACAAACCAACAGTGGATCATAAAACATTAAAAATGGATACAGTTCTGTTTTTGATGTAAGTTTTGTTTGTTTTTTGAATATACTAAAACTGGTTGTGGGCTTTAAATCAACAGGAAGTGAGTTCCAGACTGCAGATCCTCTCACAGACAGAGCATTTTGAGCAAAAGTGGTTCTTCGAAAGGAGACTTAACAGTTTCCATCTGAAGTCGCTCTAGTGACTCTCCTGTTGCCCTAAAGTCTCTGTTTCAATCACATTGAATAAAAAAGATTATTACAAACACAAACTCACCAAATATGTATATATCAAAAAAACAACCACCACAACTCTGGAGGAGCTGCAGCTCAGATGGGGGTTCTCTCTGCATCACTAGTTGCTTTGAACTACAAACAATGTGTCCCTTATTTGAGAAATGTTAGGAAAAGTTGTTGAAAGAATGCCAGAAGACACTGCAAACGTGCACAAACTGAATTCTTTGCCTCTATGCAGCAGAAGACTAAGGGACACCATCCCTTCTCTGAAACATGGTGTTAATGTGGGGATACTTTCCTGTGGCTTAAGATGGTTATTTATTTATTATGATGGATCTATTTATCTACAAGGCAGTTGTGAAAGTCTGAACCAAAATCCAACCAAGATTCGGTGAGAAAACTCATCTCACACTAAAAGGACGTTTTCATGCCCAAGCTTCCTTTTTTCTTTCAATACATGTACTTGCATAGCAATGTTCCTGAGTTCATTGAAAGTTAAAATCACATTTTTTTATGATCAGTCCGACATTACATCTTGTGTTGCAGTCCTGACCAAAAGCTCAGTAAAAAGCAAAAATTCAATTTTTGTTGCAGTAAATTGTATTACGATCAGTTAATGCTTTGGTAACCATGATTATCTCCAAGTTAGCAATTAGTGCCCTCTTCCCTTTGCATTAAAAGGCAAAGTCATGCAAGAACTTCAACTGGAGAATTTGGGTTGTGAAAAAATCTTCAAAGTACCCAAGAGAGTGATGATTCAGCAAAGCTTGATGAGGAATGGCAGCAGTCAGGTGCAAATGTCAAGAAAGGGATCAAAGAAGCCACTTTAAGTCAGACTAACATTCTGCATGAAGCATAATGATTGAACAGCAGGGAATGTGGTCACGATACTTCCCAAGTAATAAGGATAAGGTCCTGTGTCATGCAGAGAAATAAGCATCCTGAGATAATTCATGGAGTTGCTGCCCATCCACGAGTTTTGCCTGAAAATATAGATAGAAAGAAAACAAGATACAAAATGTCTCCCAACAGCACTTTTGCCAAACTATTCAGCTCTAGGGCATAAGTACGAGGTAAAGGGTCAACTAAGTGGTTCAGAGATTTAAACTTAGTAACTTCTCAGATCCTAATCCTAAAGGGGATTGAGACTTTCTAAAAACTGTATTCCCCAATGAAAGCTTGCAAAACTAGTAATTTCTTTTTAAAAGACAGCAACAAAGGAAGGATAGAAGAAATCTGTACGGGGGGAAATACTAAAAGCTATTACTGGTTACACTTTCTATTCTAGTTCCACCAAACAGGATAATTAAGAGTTGTTTTGCGAACACCTCATAATCACGCTCACTTTGGTGTTAATGACCTTTTGTCCAGCTGTTGCAGCAAACCCTACCTCTCCTAACATCTGATACTCCATATCAGTCTCATGTGACTCCCAAATACTGAGCTAGAGTTGGTTTATGCAGACTGTTGGCACATAGGGTGTTGTGGATGCTTGCCTGCCATTTGAAGCTACAAGTCTGAAGTACTGCTGTAAAAGAGCTCATTGTGTGTGCTATTACAGTCTCTGCAGGAGCCACTGGGGAGCTTTATTCAAGATTAGATCCCTCTGCCCCAAGTAGACCAAGAGGGCAGACTGAGTTTCAGGGTTACTCATTTCTCTTACACTTCTTCCATCCTCTTGACAGGTTGTAAACATAGAAAATTTGTAACTCACCGCTCTGGACTGGATTTCCTGTGAAAACATAACTGCTCCGCTTCTGATTTAAACTGGCCAACAGAGTGAAGATGAGACTAATGCAGATGTGAAACTACTCATCTTTTTGGACACCTTGTCATCTGCTGCGTATATGTGAGTATAGCCTGTGAGTGCCCTCGAGGGTGCACTGCACAATACCATGAGATACTTCAGTCAAGTCAAGGATGGTTCAGTGGTTCCAGATGATACAACAGATCTCATGTCTTTTCTGCTTCCACATTTCATGGATTGTTCCAAAAAGGATTTAGTCGGGCCGTTTATGCCTTCCTAGAAAGATCGTGGCCTTTAGTTCTACTAACAGAAGCTTCTGGTATAATTTATTAACAAGGCAAATGTCAGACTAATTAACTGCAAAGTAGTTCTAATTAGTACCAGGAAAGCCGTCCAAGTCCGTTCGTCTTTGGGTTTTATAAACTTTGCAGAGAAGTGCATAGGAAACTGCCAGTTCAGATCAATGTACTGAAACAAAAATAAAATATAACTTGAGCCTTTAAAAAATGTTTATTAGCACACATTCTGATGATAAACATGGGTACATCTGTTTATAAAGATGGGTAAGATGAAGAAAATACAAAAAACAGTCAATCCCACCCTTATACTCCTGGTTTAAAACAGTCTTAGAGTCTGTCACACCAATACTCTGATGTTTCAGTGTGTGAGGGCACATGGATGTGGAAGATCTCAGGAGGAGTCTCAGGAGGACTGTTGACCCCTGAGTCACAGTCAGGGTTGGACCCGTTTGGCTCTCCTGCCAAATATTTCACCTCTGGTCTTTGGGCAGGAAGCGATGTGTCTTGGAGCAAGTTCTCAGCTTTTGGTTTAATGTTTCTAAAGTGTTGCAGATGCACCACTTCCCTGCTCTCCGGAATGCATGGAAACAGCAGTGAAACCTCCTTGCGAAATCTGGAGCTCATGCCAAAGTATATGAGTGGGTTGTAGAAGCTGGCAGACTTGGAGAAGAGGCGGGTGACGATGCTAGTGGTGCTGGGTACGTGGAAACCCCAGGCCGACCACATGGAAACCACCGCGTACGGTGACCAGGCCATGATGAAAGCAGTGCAGATTACTATTGAAATCTAGTGGGGGGGCAAAAAAATCACAATGGTTTCCTTTTAAATTCTGCAACCAAATATTTAGTTAAACTTACCCTCGTGACATCTCTTTCCATCTTCCTTTGTCGCGCAGAGAGAAAACCATCAGCGGACATTGCATTTGTGCATTTTACAGTCTTTATAAGAGATATGTAGGAGAAGAGCATGATGATCACAGGGATGAAAAAGCAGAAGATGAGAATGGAGATTATGTAAGACTTGTAGATGGTGGAATAATTGGCTTTGGACCAGTCCACCTCACAGGTGCCATAACCCCGATCTGCAGAAAACAAGATGCAGACAATTAGGGTGTAGCGCAGTAATTATTACAGATGAACTGATATCCTCTTTTGATGTTGTTGTTATTTTAGTTTGGTTTGACCATAGACCATGAAGAACTGGTTATTATCACCCCTGGACATTTTGTCCATTCTCTTTTGTTGTTTCATACCAGCCATACTTTAGTTCCTTCCTGCTTTGGTAATGTTTCATACCTGGTTTAGTACTTTAAAGTGCTCATAATACTGTTTGAGAAAATGGATTTATATGTCTCCAATTAATTTCATCTAGCTTTAGGAAAACATTCATAGTTTTTTTTTTAATCAAGGATCCTAATTTGTCATATTTCTTTTTAAAATATGTTTGTCAAATTTGGCCTTTACTGAAGAGAAAGAGGATGGAGAGAGAATGGACAGATATGCAGCGTATGGCCTGATACCATAAATTGAGCACAGGAAAACCACAGAGAATTATATCCTCTGTAAATGCTACCAACTGAGCTACCCAATGTCCAAAAGTCATATTTTGTAGACAAACAAAACTCAAAGGAAAAGAAAGAGGAAAAGAATCCCAATTAAATTAAATTATAAGTGAGACTCAAACATTTTTAGTTTTACTTGTCCCTGAAATACCCAACTACCAAGAAAAACTAAAAAGGAATGGCTAAGTACGTTGATATAAAGCCGTTTTGTACAAAATGGATGCAAGTGGGTACAAAAAAAACCCCACTACATCTTGGTGAAGCTTCAAATTGGAACAGACCTGCGTAGCTGCCCCATCCCAGCAACGGCGCAACAGACCAGAAAAGTGCTCCAGTCCAAATGAAAATGAGGGATATTGCAATGGTGTTGATGCTAATGCAGTGTGCTGCAAAAATACACAGAAAAAAGAAAAGGCAATGTCAAAACAACGGTACATAGTTTATGAGTTTGATTTTTAGTTGATAAAGGTTCAATGTTTTTGGCAAACAGAAACAGTGAGAAGCTTTGAAGGAAGGAAAATTCTTGTTACTTGTTATGAATGTCAGCACTCTCATTGACATTTGTTGAACAATGAAGTCTTTATTGACAGCCTTTACCAAATACTTGCATCTGACAAAGACATCTGTTGGAATGATAATACACACATTTTTGTGACCAGAGGAAACCATAAAAAGGTCAGCATTTTCTTTGCAGTTGTAAAACATACTTCAGAGCTATGCTACAAGGAATTGCAAAAGTGTTCATATACCTTAGACATTTCGATATTTTGTCACAAACTTTATTTATTAAATTTTAACACAAATCTATGCCAAACTGTTAATAGAAAGAAAACATTGTAAAGTTGCAAAAAGACCACCTTGAATCCAATCAGAGCTGGAAGTGTTTTGCTGCATCTCTCAAACAGATTTGCAAATGTAAAGACTGAACTCTTTGCCCATTCTTTTTGCAAAATAGTTGAAGTAAGACAGAGAGGATCTCTGAACAATAATTTGAAAGTATTCCTACAGATTCTCATTCAAATTTAGTGCTCAAAGCTTTTCTTGCAGGATTTACCTTTGTCCTTCCTGCAATTAACTGAATGAGGGAGGCTGTTCAGAACAGCTTAATGTTGTACTGTGGACATGCTGTGTTTTTCACCCTACACAGTGTGTGCTTTAGCTTGGTCTCATTTGACAACATGTTTGTGGCTCAGGACAAAGAAATACGGCAACACTTTATTTGTCGAGTTGTGAATAAGACTGTCATAACACTAACAAAGAAATCATGATCTGATATGAATTTGTAATAGAAGTATAAAGCCAAAGTTTTATCTTTGATAAAATTTAATCAGTGATACTTCTATAAGAAATTTATGTCAGATCATAATGAAGACATTTTGAATAATATCTTTGTATTTAAAAGTGTCATGATTTACTGAATGACACTTTATGACAACAGTCATAAATATTTATGAAAACTTACTCATGTTCATGACAGATGTTATGTCTTATTTATGACGGTGTCATGACAGTCTTATTCACAACCCGTCAAAGTGTTACCAGAAAAACATTACGTTTTTACTCTGCAAATCTGGCCTTTATGAAAGAGTGGAAAAAAGAAAAACATTTTTGGAAGAAAGTCAAAAATTTCTGTTTGCCATTACCTGTCGTGCCAGGTTAGATGGACAGCTATATTCTTTCTGTGGTGTGTTTTAAAGGCTGAGATGTTATTTTGTGGTCTAAACCTGCATTAAACTTAACCACAAATACATACCGGATCTTTCTGGTAGATTATAGGACAATATTTACTACTGTGTGTTGTGTTTACCTCCCACATAAAATCCAAATGAAATAGAGGCTTATGGTTGAAATTTGACAAAATGTGTAAAAGTTCAAGAAATATAAATACTTCTGAGAAACTGTAAGTACAGAAACTCGGAGCTTTTTGTAGCTTTCACACCAACTCACCTCACATACCTTGTGGTTAATTTGCTCCTTAGATTGTTTAAATTGCTCTATTCAGACCTAGGTTAGTAATTTTCAATGGCTATATTGTGGCATATAATGCAACTGGTGATATCCCACACTCGCCACTAATGGGCACAGTTTACAGTCACAGCGTTTTAAAAACAACCGCCAACTATGTGAAATCAGATACAGTTTTTCACCCTTATTTCTATGTAATTAGGACATTCTTTTGACATGCGGATGTAGTCTCAAAAATAGAAAATGTCACCTCAAATTGTCTTAATAACATACTGGAGAAATATAAATGGACTGGCTGGAGACGAATGGTAGTTATTTTCCCAGCTGAAAACAGAAACAGACTTTTCTGTCAGAAAAGATCAGCGGAATGAGATGGAGGGCATTCATGTTGGTATGAAGCCCTCTTTGTGTTTTCACACTTGCACTGTGAGAAATTTGTTCTGACCTTTTTGCGGGTGGCATCCCTTGATGTATCTGGTGACGCTGATGACTGTTAAGGTGTTGATGCTCACAAGACCAAAGAGCAGCGTGAGAAAGCCGTCTACCTGGAAGAAGATGGACACACAGGTTTTATTGCACGACATCTTCAAAGTGTCTTCACCGAGCTAAAGATGGGGCGAATCTGATCCTTCCAGGCCCAATATTTACATCATTCTTCTATCAGATGCTACTGTGGGTCATAATTTGGTTGATTGTTCTCCCAAAGTTATATCGCAGTGCAGGTGCTTTTGCTATATTTTATAATCTTTTTATATCTTTTAGCTATTTTTTGTGCTAGTGCATTATCTTTCAGCTTAAGAGTTAAATATTTTGATTGTTACATGTGAAATGTTTTGAATCTGTGTTTTTTGGGACAGAACACTTTGCAAAAGTGATCTTTGATATCATTAAGTACTCCCCTATCTAAATAAAAGTTAATAAATAAAAAAAGCTAAACTCACAGCCAAACATCTCCAGCATATTTAATAAAATACACAGTTTTACTATAAATTTTATGTAAACATATCTGTCCATGCAGCAATGTCCAAAAAGAAGAACAATTTTTTACTTTATGGCTTTCGCTATAATAAGTGGATTAAGGCTCCTTTCATGTTCTAAGCATCCTGCAAGGCTTTTCTGTTTTACTGTATGACCTTTCTCTTTTAAACATGAGCATATTTTGGTTTAAAGGTATATAAATCTTGCTAAAAAAAAAAAGAATTTTGGGGGAGTTTTAATGAGATTCTACTGTAGTAGATAAATGCTTTAAAATATGACCTAATCAAAAACAATAACAGCAATCGAGGAGACGATCATCCAGAAAACAAATTATTTTCTCACTCTAACACATTGTGATTTAACGTAGCCAAGTTTAATGACCAGAAAGAAATCGTTCCCATATTCTTTTGTTGATGGCTAAAAGAAACACGAGGAAATGTCAAGCTATGTTGACATTTTGTCATAGTATATCTACTTTATTGACGTTGTATTGCTCTTACAATCAGCTTGTTAAAAATTTTAACATTCTTGTAAAGTCTGCTGTACATCCCTCATTTAAGTTAAATATTCAGGTTGTTTAGCTAAGATGAACAGAAAATGTGAACTGAATTGGATGATAGATAACAGAATCATTATGATGTATCACACACACTGCACTCATCAACTTTTCCCGCCAATTGTGTTGTTGTAAACTTTGGTTTATATATTGTTAATGTATATATCTCTGAATTGCAAACCTTCTTAAAAGGTGTTATGGTGTTTCCATGTGCAACATCCGGCTCCCTGCTGAGTCATTTCCAGGTAACTCGCCTCATTTGAGGTCAGTTGCTAATTACTATCTTGATCTTCCTTTGTACTAATCCAGTTACATGCACTCGTCACAATTTTCTCACTCACTTGCTTCTTGGGGTTTTGATTCAAAGCTAGTTTTTTGCACATGTAGGAAGAACCAAGAGAGAAATAAATGATGACTGTAATGTTTTATGCTGCATGTTTGCCTCTGTGAAGCCCAGTTCGGCTTCCTAAGGTGCAAATACACCGAACTGGCTGGGATTTGCTCTGGTCACATCACGTTTTGGGCCATAATCAGCTTCTCACATCCTTGTTCACATGCTCTTTCCCTTCATAAAGTGTTACTTTTAGAGTATAGCCTTATTTTTAATTTTGACTACCACCCCCATATCAGCTCACCTCTCAGGGGAAGGTAAGATAAGAGTGGCACGCTACAGCTTTTCAACACCTTGTTTTTCTATAATTTTTCAGGGAGTTTTTCCTGGCGTTCCTGCACAGATCCCAACTTTCTACCAGAGTTAGCCTTGAGCAAGAAAAATATCCTGCTTGAATTCCAGGCAGAAGAATGACAACAATTTAATTTTGAGCTGTGGCTGCGAGCGGATAAGAAAACACATGGGTGAATGGTGTTTTAGTTTTTTTCCACATTACACACATAAAACTTGTTTTTAAAATGAAGTTTTTAGATGGAAATTACAATTGTGTTGAAAAATTAAGACAAATGATTAAAATATACTAAAAAAATCAATGGAAAAGCTCTTAATAGTTCTCCATTTGGTTGTTGAACTGCTAATAGGAGAGTTTTGCCCGTTTAGAAGTCTCCAACAGGCTAATCTTATTACAGATTTAACCTCTAGCCTGCATGGCGAGGACCAAAATCCTCTGCATATGCACGAGCACACACTCGCACGCATTCTCTATTCATGGTAAAACCTCTGCTGTTCTGTAATGTAATGAATTAACTGAGAAAGATAGACAATGCACATAATGTTGTTTGCAACTCAAAACATTGTTGCAAATGATAACATTTCACCTTTTTAATTGTTATTAAACTTCATTGCTATCGCACAGTTTGAGATTTAACAGAAAAAATATCCTGAATACAAGGAATTGTTTGGATTATTTAGCATTTGTTTTCACATTTCGTTTACCTGGCAAGTCCAGATCCATGTGATCAGATACCCGTCATCTTTCAGGATGTTAAAGATTTCCAGAATTCCTCGTGAGTAGCCAAACACCGAGATGCTGGCATCAGAAATGGCGAGGTTTAAGGTGAAGAAATCTGTTGGTTGGAGTAAGGCCCGCTGGCGGTACAGTACAAATATCACCAGACTGTTTCCAAACCATGAAAGCCATCCTGCAAAGAAGCAATATCAGCGATATTTTCAGGACTATCTTATCTGATAGTGCAGGTAAAACTAGATTGGTAAAATATATTCAAATATAGATGATGTTCAATAGAAAAGCTATGCATTGTCTAATTGTTTTAAAATGCAAAATATTATCATTTGTTGGTGTAGTAGTTGACTAGCAACAAACCACATTGTGATGAGCTGTACTTGCATAATTTATACAACATAGATTACATTTGTGTACATTTTACCATGACCATATTTATGTTGTTGGTTTTACAGTCAGATGATGTTACAGTAGAGTACACAAACAGATAAATTTGCCATTTCACAAAACCTGCTTGGCTGGACTTTTAAGATTTTGATCAGATGAAACACCAAGTTCCTGTAAATCAAGAATAAAGCCCACATGCTTAGAGTTCCTTTGAACAATAACTGGAACACTACTATGTATAATTATTGTATATTTCCTTGCTGATTTTGATGGCATTTGACAAAATGTAATGTTTTATGGTTATAAACACTTTGAACTTTACTTGTCAATATGTTATATCAAAATATTTTTCATATTTATTGTCTTTTTTTAACATTTTGGAAATTTTGACATTTTTTCAAAATTATGATTAGTCATAACTTAAAAAAATATGGTAATTTGTACAAACTTGCATTCGAGATCTTATTTGTTTCTATTGATAAGCTGTAAATAATTCATAGTTCATTGACATATTTTGTCTCTCTCAAGTTGTAGGAATTTTTTGGAAGGAGTTTTTGCAAATGTTTTTTTAGGCACATCATCTAGTCTAAATCCAGAGATAGGAGGCTATGCATGTCCAAAACCCAGTATCAGAAGAAACCAGTAATGCTTGGTGTAATGAGTGACCAATGTAAGGAGAAAAGCTGACTATCTCTCCTAAACAGCTAATTCTGACCAATTATAGATACTTATTTTAGGCGAGAGACTTGAATTTGTTTAAATTTGTCATATTTTGAGTGTTCAATCCTTTTTTTATTTTTAGAAAATTTCCCCTCAGCTGTAGAAGTAGCTGAAGAGTAGATGTAGTTTCAGAATCTGTATGTGATTTTTTTCTGTCTCTCTTCCCTAAAGTAAATAGTTTACATTACACTTTAGTGTGATTAATAATAAATCAGTTCTTGATTACATTAAATACATTGTTCATACAAATAAGCAAATATCCATATTTTTGATTGTTGCTAAACAAATCTTAAGAGTAAAACGCATAAATATCCACCTGCTTGTTTAAATATTTGAATTTTTTCAATGAAAAGGAAGTGGTTCATCTTTCAATACATGAGTATCTGCAGAATAGGAACCTGTCACTAAGGTTAGACAATCTTTGACTTACCCAGCACTAACAGGTAGACTCCAACGATGGTTTCTCCTTGTTCAGAGAGAGGAGTCTCTGTATGCAGAGTGCTGAGGTTATTATTCCTCCATGGAATATTCACCACCTTTAGTGGGAAACCCTTCAGTGTTATTTCCATGGCCTGAACTTTGATGCCTCGGCATGAATTCTTTCTATCCTCGTTGACGGCTTTGCTTTCCACTGCTTCCTGCAGATACTGTCGTTGTTCACCAGTAGGGATGACTGGCCAGTTGGTTTTAAATCCAGCTTAGACACAGTCACTAATACCTGCCTGCTCGCTTGTTCCAATGTCTGGACTGGTAATCCTATCTATTTCTTACAAATAAGAAGATAGGGGTTTTGGATGGAAATCCTTGCCAATAGCAATGTATCTACTAAGCCTTGCAGAGTCACTTGATTTAGTTCTAATTAGGTGAAGAACCAGGATTAATCAGAGGCAATCAAAGGAGATCGGTAAGGTCTAAACAGATAGAAAACTTGAGCTGTTGATAACATCCTAACCTGCCTATGTTTTTAATCTGGTGGATTTTTTTTTATTTTTTATTTAAACTTCATCATTTGAAAAAATGAATCCACTCCAATCTCCCTAGCAATATAATAACTCCACAATTTTCTCATTTACTTTATGCTAACTTCTTCATCAAAATGATCTTGATCTGGTTAAGCTTCTTTATAAATTCTTGGACTCCATAGCATGTTTTCAACTCATTGCAATATCCTAAATTTAGAAAAGAACAAGTAGAAATGTACCTCTTTTACTTTCAAAAGTGTTACTGGGAGGGTTATAGCGGTATAATAAACCAGGTGGAGTACCTAGACAATTGATCAGGTGTTAAAATAAATTTCATTTGACTCAACAGCACGTGCTCTCATTTTAGAGTAAAATCTTTACTTAACAAAACGTTCTTAAAATGCAAATATCTCATATGCATCCCAAAGTATTTACCTTCTTTTTTAACATCTGCTTTAATTTTAATTTCATAGTAAATAGGAGGACAAACATGAACAAGGTGTGTTTTTCTCCAGCGATCTTTTGTGTAAGGATCACTGGAGAAAAGCACACCTTTTTCATGAAGCTTGAGTAAATATAGATCATTTTCAAAACAATAACCCTATATCAAAGCCTTGTTACTGAACGTAGACTAAGGTTACAATCAGTTTATCCCCAAATGTGAAAACTACAGACCTTTCTTAAATAAGGAAAACATTTTTATGTTGTGAATCTGCAGCTCCTTAGATTCACAACATCGGTCAACTCAATTTTAATAAAATACAGCATAGTTATTTTTAAGCAGATGAAAATAATTCAAACAAATCTATATTTTGTTTGAAAAAAACAAAAAAACAAAACAAAAACCAAACACCTCCGAAGTACTTTCAGATTGGTGATTTTGCCAAACATGGCAAAACCTTTGGACACCATTAGCTTGTATTTTGCAACAAAAAGGTGTGTGATGTAAATTTTTCACAGCTTTAATGTTACACATATCCTGTACTATTAACTCAAAACACAAACAAATTGCTAAAGAACTGGAAAAAAAAGAAACACATAAGCCTTTGGTGGAAAATGACAATAAACATATCAGGTCAACGCATGAAGAGGGCTCTGGTGTCCTAATGGAGTTGAAGAATATTTGCAAGCCAGACTAAGTCAATATCTGGGGTGCTGAACTACCAAAGAAGACTGAATGCTAAAATTAAAACATACTGCAATCGTTTAAGGATGCCCACAGTTAAGCAAGCAGAATATATGTTACATTAAAGGTTGAAAAAGTAAAAAAAAGTGATTTATCATGACCTTTATGTCATAAAATTCACATTTTAATGGGGGTTAAATCATCTTTTTATACATCAAAATGAAGATTGGGCCTCATTATTGGACCTATAATAAATGAAGCAATCCGTTGACAAACATGAACAGTTTTTATGCTTTTGGTGCTTTAAATCACTCAAAGCAAAATGTCTCTGTACTTCAGGCATACGTCCTGTGAAGCTGCATGGACCCTCTGTGTTGTTTAGACATATATTTAGCTTCTACTAATCGATTCCATTTATATGAAGCAATGGAGGCGGCAACTGTACTTCAGCTGTGACGGAGCTTTGATGTGTCATATGATGAGGATTTTCCATGTTGTACCGAGTTCAATGTGCACTGATGTCACTGCTGGGGCATCTGGTACTTCAAGGAAGCAGAATGTGGGGCAATACCACATGATGTAAATTCAGCCTCATTTTATCCAAATGAGGCCAGACATTTGTTATTGATTAAAATACTCTTGCAAGCTTACAGTTGCAACACATTTCCCCTCCTCCACTCTCCTCTTTACAGTGAGCTTCTCTGTGGTGGAGCATCTACCGAAGTGGGAACCTGAGCCACCTCCCTCCATGTGCGTTTAGCTTACAGTGCGCACCTTGTCTTCCTGATGGTCCTGTCACAGAGCAGCTCTGCTGGCCCTCAGGATGTGGAGGGAAGGGGCTCCTGCCAGATGCCTCAATGCTTCCGAGTCCTCCTCATGAAACCCTTTTAGTCTCTGAACGCCAGACGTAGCCAAGAGGAAAGCAGGGCTCTGACCCTAATTGTCACCTGTCCAGCAGCTAACAAGGAACCCAGTCTCTGCTCATTTAAAGGAGAGGATTCTTCATGACACAGCTTAACCTCTGCAGCCTACAGAAACAAAATTACATTCATGATCTTCTTTGTTTTTAGGTTAAAGTGGACAATGTGGTGATGTTTATGCAAAAACCTCCTGCCTGACATCGCTGGGCGCTAAGGTGTGGCACCTGCTGTAGTGAAACCTAATCAAGAGATTAGACAATTTGGTGACAAGTGAGAGGTGGATTTCATGTTGAGGACAGCTGCTACTCAGCTTATGCTGAGACTAAGTGAAGAGGCCAAAGGTTAAGGAAAACCCTGCGTTCAGCAGGTGCTAAGTATAACAAAACATCTGTCAACAATTGACTCAAAACCAGAGTGTGAAGGGAGGGTGTTACAGTCCTTATGTTCACTGGAAAAACAGCATACCTTATTTGACAAGAGAGGTTTTCAAAGCTTAGCACAAAGGAGTCATATCTGCAGAGATTTGCAAAAGTTTTCTCATTTTATTACATTTCACCCACAAGTTTGGGTGTTTTTTTCAGTGGGGGAATGTAGTGCATGTATCTAAAGAGGAAAGAAAAGGATGCATGGTTTTTAAATATATTTTACAATTACAAATCTGAAGTGCATTCAGCCTCTATGTTTATAAATGTTCAAGTTTTGAAAACTTTTATTATAGCTTGAAATAAAATGTTTGTTATTGGCCTCTGATGTAGTATATATTAGTTTGATAAATAAATATTAGTGCTATAAGGTTGACATTCCACAGAAACTCTCATTAGTCCTTAACAACAAAACACCCAGGATACTGGGATACTGGGTGTTTTGACACTGAAGCACTCGTTAGATTTCAGCATGAGACTGCTGTCTAGAAACTGCCAGTATCTTCAGATTTCGATTGGGGAAAAGTTCCACATTTAAGGATTCTATGTCGTCGGACAAAAGTGACAAAATCGGTTCTCATTGCTGCCGTTGCATAAAGAAAATCATTTCATTTTGTTATCAGCCCCATGTTGTCTCCACCTTCTTGTCACAACCCTAATGGCAAACTTCCCCCCACCCATGCCAGGGCACAATACGTATAAAAATCACCATACTGTGATTTAAGCACATTGTCAAAACCCTTAACCTCCAGCACATCCTGAAGCCATGCCTTCTGCGCATGTGCGCTTTCACACCTGCAGAGTACTTCACACCTGGACAGGGATTGTTCCTGAACAGTTCCACTCTGGTTTCAAAAGGTGCCACAGATTCCGATCAATAGAAATGGGCACACGAGCAGCGAGAACACAACTGTCAACAATGCTTACACTGTCGAGCTCAGTGTGAACAGGAACTCAGTTAACTTAGGTCTGAACATTAACTAAATCTTTCAAATTCAAGTTTTTTCAATTTAGTTCTGATTGTTAGGGTCACTATTGGATAAACATCCTATAAAATTCAAATTTAACAATTATTAACTACTTTGTGTTGGTCTTTTACAGAATTAACCCTCAATAAACTATAAGTTTTTGGTGTGATAAACCTGGAAATGTTTATTGGGTATTACCACTTTTGCAAGACACCATATAATGTCTTGCAAACCCAGTCCTGTGTATTTTGGCCTTCTCTGTCTTCACAGTAGGCCACTGTATTATCAAGCTCATGATGATTGCTGTCTCAAGCAAAACTCTCAAGGAAAGCCTGCTGTTTTCTAGATTGAAAATGGACACATGTACTTTTGTAAAAGTGTGTGTTATAGGCCACGGGTCTGTCTGAGGGCAACAAAGTCTCTCTTCACAGAGGACATGGACCACGTCAAAAGACCAATACAGGATCTGCTTTTAGAAACACGTCCACACACTCTCTCTTTCCTTGTCACTAATTAAGAAACACAGCTACTGCTTGTCTGAAAGGTGCATAGAGTACTGAGCTAAATGGCCTGCTTGTCATTTTTGAGGTCGGGCTGCAACACTGCTAGCTATAGGAGTTCACCACCATAGTCCTGAGCTCCACCAGAGAGAGTATGTGACAAATGTTTCAAGTGTCAAGTTTTCTTATATTCCCTATTTTGAAAAATGATTTTGGCCTTTTTGACATTAATTCACTATGAAGTTGATGTAAAATCTGAAGATACTCTGACCAATTTAAGAAAACCAAAATACTGCTTAAAAGTATTTTTATTTTTTTTTATTAAGTAAATAAGACATAATAATTTTGTTCAAACTTAAAGATTGTTGATGTCAGCAATTTTTGCTGAATATTTTTACTTACATTATAATTAAATTATATTATTTTTTTAAAGACTTTCATTAATTATAATAAAGCTTTAATTTAGGGAAATTTCTGTTATTTTAGTCAAAAGGTTTGGCCTATGAGAATAAAGTTCTTTTTTTGGTTGCTTTATGGGTGAGGGGAAGAAAAATTCATGGACTTGTGGAACAACGGTAGACCTTTCTTATATGCTGTGAAAAGTGCAGTAGCTTTACTGTTTCTATTTTCCTTTCACTCTTATAACTCTGTGGTTCAGGATGTTTGCTTAACTGCAAGATATTAAAGTTTTGGTTCTGTCATCAAGGAGAGTTTTACAAAAAAAACAGTAGCTAATATTTTATAAGAAAAGT